GACCCTTTGCACTGAGGTATGGTGCCTACCTCTAGAAGGAACTAGTTTCTATGCCTTTGGAGGAGGTATTACATTAGAGTCATTTAGGTTGTACAAGATTTTTTAAGTCCAGCCGTAAACCCAGCACTTCTAAGGCCACCACTAAACCATGTCCTTAAGCACCACATCTACTCATCTTTTAAATCCGTCCAGGGATGGAGACTCCATGACTCCATCACTTCTCTGGGCAGTCAGTTCCAATGCTTGACAACCCTTTTGGTGGAGACATTTTCCTAATAGCCAGTTTAAACCTCCTCTGGTGCATCTGGAGGCCAACTTGAAACTCTGTCTTTGCAGTCTTCCTGAGTTGCCTGTCTCTTCTTCCAAAGGCCATAGACTCTCCTTTTTAACCCTGAGTTCCAGCCAAAGCCCTCTGTTCAGCCAGGCAGGTCTTCCTTGCTGTCTCGTCTTTCAGCACATGGGAACAGCCTGCTCTTGATTGCCCTCAGACTTCTTGTTGAAGTTGAAACATCAACTTCAGCACTTGTTGGAACATCATCACTGCCTATCTGAAAAACCAATACTAGATAATAATCTGAGGGCTGTACCAGGGTGGGAAGGTTTCTCTTCACATCTTTAACCAGGCTTCCCTAAGAAGTGGGTCTTATCTACACACTGGGCCTTCTGCTCCCCTCAGAAGGGGTTTTCTTACGACAATGACCTGTCTCTCAAACTGGAAGCAGTTTTGACATAGGTCATGGGCCAGCGTAACCTCAGTGCAACTCCCAGCTGGATGAACCATCATCCTTGTGATTGTTCAGTTCCACTTGCAGATCCTCTTGCCTGTTACATGAGGGCCCCTCTGACCCTTCTGTGTGGGCTGCCATACCAGGCCCTGTTTGCCTGCCCTGGTCATGGTGCTCCCCAGGGGCTTCTTTTATATGTGGGGGTGCTTGGCCACCATTGCTCCTGACTGCCAGCAGCTATCGTGTGAGCTTGAGGCTCCCACCAGCTTTCTTGGCTTCCCTTGAGTATCCCTGGTTTGGGAACACCCCTCTGCACAACCCTCTGGAGTGCTCCATGTGGATCATGCTGTTACTGGAGCCACTGACATCACGTCATCTTGAATTACTCTGATGTCTTAGTTAATATCAATCAGATTTGAGTTTCAAAAGCCCACTTTCCAGGTGAGTTTGTCCACCTTTGGAGTTTTCCTTGGTGCTGGTTTGTTAGGTTAGTTTGTAGAACAGGTTGTGGCTGTGCACTTCTCACTGACACTCGGTGCTTTTGGCACTGGGGATGAATTTAAGTTTATTCATCTGAACATTGGCAGCTGCTTTGGGTTCATCCTGTCATTTGGGATACATGAAGCCATGTCTGGGACATGGTTGTATACTCCAAGAACTAAGAGAGCCTTGATACTGCAGAAAGAAATGCTTTTAAATTGCTGCAAGAACTATCTGAGCCACATCAGTGTAGTTCCTCTGGTCTGTCTTCATTCCCAGTGTATTTTCAACTTTTTCAAGAGATGGCTTGTTATGGCTGATTACGTTATTTGTGACTTTTTGTCTCCTTTAATGCCTGTGCCAGTAGTGCTTATGTAAAGGGGCTTGATGGTATTGAATGGTAAGAATGAACAAATGCAGCGGGAATTCAATTGCTATTTTGCTGTCAAGCACAAGTGGTATTCTTTCTCAATCAAGTCTGACCACTTACTATGTCAGTTGTTGGAGACCTGGAGAAACTATTTCAGTTGCATTCAATTTAAGGGGAATTTTTGTTCACTTGAGGTGCTCTATTTTATTTGGAGGTTTTAGAAATGTGTGATTTCCAAGTGCTCTGCATGCTTTATAATAAATATGGCTGTAGTTCATCTTCATCTTAGCTGCAAAATCCTACGTATTATGTGTACCTGTCAAATTAATGGCCAGCAGTACCCTATCCTCTCTTACAGACAGGGAGCTTGAAGCTGTCAGCTATCACCCAGAAGTTAATGATGATGGGTTCTTTCAGATATGTTTAATAGTGAATTTCTTACTCATACAACCATCTACCTCAGTTGGTACATGCAGTTTTAGAATCCATGCTGTAGGGCACCTGATAATTAATGGCAATTTGGAATACCTCATTGTAATGTCATTTACAGCTTGATTAATTAGTTGACATATCCCTTCTTAAATTTCTCATCTGAAGAGGTTTGTGAGTGTTTTCCAGTAGTTCGGCAGAGCCTTCCCTCGGGTGCAGTAAACGTTGCGTTGTGGTGAATTTACAGCCGTGTCTGCAGCACTCTGAAGTCATCTCTGCTGCTCCCAGAGCCCTGCTTTGCTCTGTTGTTCAGCACATAGTTTGCCGGGAAGTTTGTGTGCTAATCTGGCAGGGAAACTAATCCCCCAAAGTGAATAGCTTTCTTTTGGACGAGCATGCTGAAATGAAGTGTTGAGCTTTGGAGATGCAGCAGTAGGATGGGATGTAGCAGCCAACAGTTGGGTTGTCTTAAACTGCCAAAGACCCTCAGTCAGGGAAGCACACACGCTTCTTTCATGAGGGTTGGCAGTCCCAGTCGGGCTGTTTCTAAAGGAGAATTGCCGTCAGAGGGGTATTGAGAAGAAAAATGACGGTTCAAAAATGACTGTGCAAAAAAGCAAAATTTCATTGTGCCGTGGTGGGGACACTCCATTATAAACTTCTTTGCCTCTCTGTATTCAGACAGAGCGGGGTTTCTCTGCACTTGATTCATCACACTTGGCTTGAGAGAGAGCACAACATCTCCAGATATCGGAGAGGCTGATTTTGTGGTGCTTCAATGTCGCTATTATTCGGCCTCTACTCAATAGAGCTTTGTGTTCTTCTCACTCCTAGAGATTATAACTGCTGCTGTGGGGGCAGAAACGACGTGGAAATATGGACCATAAAAAATATTGGCAAATGGGTGTTTCCCAAAAATATGACCTGTGCTTAAAACAACAGCAGAATCTTTATTTGACTTTTAAATCATGGTATCTTACTGTCTTTTGATTTTTTTGAGCCTTTAAACAAAAGTATAATATACTACAGCTTGCTGTGAACTAGGGATTTAAGACATGGTAAATCTACAGGGGAAAAAAAGCCCCGTGTGCAAAGTAAGATCCCTTTCTGCTGGGGTATTCCAGAGAGCACAGCTGCTTGGTGCTGTGCTGCAGAGAGGAACTGAGCTAGAGACGGCAGCAGACGTGCTGACAGAGAGGAGGGAGAAAAGAGCCTTGGCTATAAGGGAGTGTGAGCTGCACAGCCCAGCCATACACTCAGGACTTGCTGCAACTCCACCTCTTAGTATGTAGGTCTTGTCCACAAAGTCTGGTGGAAAAGAAAGTTGAGGAGTAGGACTCTAATATTCCAGAAAGCTGGCAGAGATTTCTGTGTTGTTGATGCTGTATAGTCTTTCTTTCAACTTCAGTTTGCTTGCATCCAAATATATGCTGTTGCATCTGTTTACTTGGGTTTTTCAGTGCTGGAGGCATACCTCTCTTCTTGACAGACCACTGGTTTCATCCTTTCTAACTGGGTTTGGAACCAGAGGCAGGAAGAGGCTGTGTGCTCTGCAATGGGAGTTTGTTTTTTGGTTCCCAGACTAATAATGGAATTGATGAAAACTGCTGTTCAAGTATATTGGCATGTGGTTGACGGTTTGTGGGACAGTAATGTATTCTGTGTGGGAACATCGTTACGAGGGAATGGCTTGGGGAGGGGGAAAAGCATGTGATGTATCTGCAGATACTACTTCAAAATGACTTGGATATGAATGCAGAGGGTAGTTTAATTAACGGGAGAATGGAATTTTCCCAGCTTACAGAGGAGAGTATATATGGAGAAATCTGGTTCACTGGTGTTAACCAAGAGTGTGCTGGCTTGTGATGATGCTTCTACAGCACATTTACTGAGGGGGGTTGCAGGTTGCTCTGTCTCTGAAAGGACAGTACTCAGTGTTCATCTCAGTTCACTTTGTGCTATTTTTACAGCTTTCTGTGTTCAAATGGCTCAGAATAACATGCTTGTCATTCACCTGTCAACTAGGAAATGTAACTTACTTCAGACTTCCTTCCCCTGAGAGTAGCTCTGATAGGAGGAATTCAATTGAGGTATCTTCAATTACCAAAAATTTCTGTGCTGTCCCCTTCCTCTGTGCTCTTAAGGCAGGTGTTTGCGAAAGGCCATCTCTGTTCAAGATGACCTAGTTAAGGATGCTGCTGTGCAGCAGGTCAAGGTTTTGGAGTAAAGTTTTTAGCACCACAAGTTGCTGTTCATATTCTGGAGACTTATGGATGGATCTTCATGATCGCCTGTACCAGGAAATGGTTTTATTTGATGAATCACAGCATAAGTGGATTTCTGGAGGAACCCCTGCCTGATACAACAGTCTCTGCTAGATAAGAAGTACCTCAAGCATTCAAATACCCGTATCCTGCTGCAGAGGTTTGCTCTGTGGAACACCAGCAAAACAGCTTGAGTTTTGCAATACCACCACACTCGCATAGGCAAACTGGTCGGTGAGCCTCTGAGTGCTTTGGGGATGACACACAGTAGGATATAGAAGCATTTCAAGGAGAAGGGAGCATCCCTGTGCCTACAGATGTTGGAATACATAATCCTCAGATGCATGGGAGCTGGACTGGGTTTTTTAATTGTGTGGTTGCTGCTGTCTCACTGGAGTGGGAATGGGCTGTTTAACTGTCACTTGAGGTGCTGCAGTGATGCTCTTGTACATTTTATTGAAGAGAACTTAACAGAACCTATGGTAACAAGGATCTCTTTGTCCTGTTTGAATGACTATGATTTTATGATCTGACGAGTTATGATTTCATGGTTAGAGAAGGAACAGATGTCATTAGCACTTTCCAAATTGGTTAGAACTGAATGAATGTGGATGCTTTGTATTTCATGATGGGTTACTGATCGCTGTTGGGGATGGGTAGAAAGTTTCCTGCGGAGGGAAATAAACCCCAGTTCTAACAGTTGTGTTTTGTTTTCTCCCACCTCTAACACAGGTTGCCAACTTGGCCTGTTCCATCTCGAACAACGAAGAAGGGGTGAAATTGGTTCGCATGTCAGCCAGCCAGCTTGAAGCCCTGTGTCCCCAGGTAATGAAGAGTGTAAGAACTTAAGACATACCCTGATAAATTGGGCACTGATCCTGCTTAGTACATGTTCTGTCCTCTTAGTGTCAGTCTGTGGACTTGCTGCAGAACTTGACTTTTTCCTTAATAAATAGAATCCAAATAGAGTGGTTTGGGTTGGAAGGAACCTTAAAGCTCATCTATGATGATATGATATGATGATCTATGATACCATTCTGTGATTCTATGATCTAGTTCCAACCCCTGCCATGGGCAGGGACACCTTCCACTAGAGCAGGTTGCTCCAAGCCCCTGTGTCCAGCCTGGCCTTGAACACTGCCATGGATGGGGCAGCCACAGCTTCTCTGGGCACCCTGTGTCCCTCTGGCAGGTTAAAGCCATTGCCCTTGTCCTGTCCCTAGAGGCCCTTGTCCAAAGCCCCTCTCCAGGTTTCTTCTCAGTCACCTTTAGGCACTGGAAGCTGCTATGTAGGGAATAACATGCAGGAATAGTCATCAAGACTTAGAAACTTTAAAATACATGACAGAGTAATTAGTGATATGAATGGGTCTTTTTTGCGCAAGAACTCTGCTTTCATTTGGCTGGCATATTCTAGCAAGCTGTAAACCATTAAAGCTTCAGTGGTTTACTGTGTACATTCATTCTGCAGGAAGATGTCTTGTGAAGAGGCTTCCACTACTCCTGTGCAGGCTCTAAGATGAATTATAGATATATTATTTTTTGCCTGAGTAGAATATAAATATGCCACAAAAAATTTTCTCAATAGAGTAGGAAGCTGGCTATGTGTGAAGAGCTTGAACCTGGCTGAGACTACCCTTTAATTAGTAACTTTTTAATGGAAACAAGGAAATTGAGTTTATATAAGCACTAGACTATCCTCTTGCATTTTGACAGCCCTGATGTTTTAAATGTCAACAACTAGATACTTGGCTGAACCCCTGACGACTACAGTGCACTTTCAATTCTTGTAATTTGCATTTTTTAAAGCAACAGGAAATTCAGATCTTAACCACAGAAATAAGCTGTTGTTGGTAACAAGTTGCTGATGGAAAGTACATCCTCAGAAAAACTGATTGAATGGCATTTTAGGAAAAGAAAGTGAATTGTCTCAGGATTATTTGGAATTTGTTCAAGTTTTCCCATATATATTGGGAAAACTAGTCAAAAGGAAGAGAGGGATGTTCACTGGTACCCACCTCAGCAGGAGGGGAGTTCTGAGGGAACAGGTGAAGACAGTGTGAAGAGCAGGTCTATTTTACCTTTTCTTTTACTTGTAAGTCAGTGCTATTCAGTAGCACTATTCACCTATTCAATAGTGAACATTTTCACCCGAACATAAAACGTTCAATACTATCTAGGCCTTTTGTTGTCCTGGGGTGGACTTCTGTGGTTGCCACTCCTGCTGTGCCTTGACTGGCTCTGCAGGTCTTTGCCTCCCACGTCTGGGGCAAGTGGTGTGTATGGCTTGTTAAAACCAAAGGTCAATTTTTACAGTTGGAACAAAGCATATGGAAGAAAAAGCTTTTAAAAAGGCATCTTGCCTAGTGTAAGGGTCTTTCCTAACATAACTAACTAGGCTGGATATAATGATTTCTTTTGGTTATCTCCAAGAATATGGGTGTCTGCTGCATGTTGTTCCAGACAAATGATGGTGCTTTTTGAAAATAAGCATCTTAAGAAAGTTAGGTTTTCTTTGAATCTAAATGCTTCTGGTAGTTGTCCAAGTCTGTGGGGGTGTTTTCCCCTCCCTATTGCTGAAGTTTTGTGTATTTCCAACTCTTCCAGCTTTGCTTTTCCAACAACTGCCTATTTATTTAAATCCACTCCTTTAGAAAATAAACAGCATGATAGTCACCATGAAATAATGAACAAACTATTCAGTAGTCACCAAGGTCTAGTCACATTTACTGAAGTGCAGTTGTTAACCTTCGGCTTCAGGGATTATGGATAATATATTTAACACACATTGGAAGCTTTGATTATCTATAAATGGACGAGGGCTATAACTGATGGGTTGTGGCTTTACAAAGGTCACATATCTGAACTTCCAAGCTGCTGTTCAGATGCACTACACAGTCTTGCCTTAATTTCAGGGTCATCACCAAGAGATTAGTAAATGACACTATAGATGTTCATAGCCCTTGAAAGAGGGCTTTTATATTGCATTACATGTTCTCTGGTTGATTCTTTAATGCTCCAAGAGTATTTCAATATGTTGTGAATCCTGGGAGATAATTAGGGGCACTTGTCTGAACTGTTTTACAAATGGCATCTGGGTTTCCTCCGAACAATACAGGATAGAGCGACTCAGCACGCTGTCATCCGCAGCCGCGTTACTGACTGTTCCCAAACTTGGGTTACTCTGTATAATCTTAAATGCTTCCACATAGGAAGCATAGTGGGATTTTGTTTTCCTTTTCGGACAATTATCTGTCTATTTTGCAGTTTATTCCTGATGAGATTCGCAGCTGCTTCTTGAATCAATTTAGGTGTCTTTGCTGAATAAACATGTGAATTAGGCATGAAATACAGATTAAACCCAACATTATATGCTTTGGGGGTTTTTTGGCTTAGATGGTATTTTTCCAGGAAGATGCTGGATTCAGAATGAGTCAAGTCAATCAGTAATTACAATAGTCTCTGAAACTCAAGTGTCTGTATCAATACCACACAGAAATGTAATGTATGAAATTTAATTCAAGGTACTGCTGTGGTTGAAAGGTTGAAACTGAAGTTTAATGCACTTGAGTCCATCTTAAATAGCTTAGCTGAGTAGAGGCCAGTCTAGGAGTGGGAAACTCCTGGCTAAAGAATGATTTCTGCAGAAATGAAGATGTAGAGTTAATTATAAAAGCTGTATTTCAAGGCAGTTACTCAGTCCAACCTTGTATCTTGCCTTTTGAGCCAGCAGTGGGAGTAAGGAACAGGCAGCACTTCAAACTGGTTAGAGAAGACTTGGTTCAAGCAAGAAAACAGTCATTGCCAGTATCACCTTCAGACACTCTCAGGTTTAAAATCTGATTCTTCGAGGAAAAAGATGTGGGAAGTCTCCACAAAAGCGAGGAGTTACATTTGTTTAGTGTGGCCGTTACTGGAAATCGGCTCTTCCTCAAGAGCAACATCATCCTTCCTGTTTGTGAGTTCCCAGACACTTAACACAGAAATTAAGACTTAATATGGTATTTCGAGCTCCCTTTCAATCATGCAGAAGGAACTGTTAGGAAGAGCTGTTCCTCCTCCGTAGTAGCCACCTGGGTGACTTGTGTTAGTCTGGGTTTACGAGGAGGAGTAAGGTGGCATTAGGGGGTCACTGGTGGTTTTCTTCATGAAGCCCTGACTTACAACCCTGCCTGAATTGGTCTAGTGTGAGGCATCCCTGCCCATGGCAGGGGGTTGGAACTAGATGATCTTAAGGTCCTTTCCAGCCCAAACCATTCTGTGATTCTGTGAATTCTTTTATTTTTTTTTGAGGACATGCATTGCTGAAAGTCTGCATATCAAAGTGAAACAACTTCATCCAGCACCTTACAAGAGTTACCTGCAGCCCTGCAGCTTCATGCCTTCTTAGGTGATGTGGAAACAGGCCAGTCTGTGCTGGGTAAAATGAAGAACAAAAGCCCTCCATCACCATGGTTAAATGTTTAAAACAAAATGCTTAAGATGTCTTTCATAATGGAAGTGGAAAAGTACTGCTGTGAAATGCTTGGAACAGTTACCTTCCATTTGCCTAGCAGAGCGCTGGGGGAAGTTTTCTTTGCCTCCTTGCTAAACACAGAGCTTGCCAATGGTAAATTAGCAAAAGATTTTGTTTATCTCCACTTGAAAACCTGGATCCTCGCTCGTAACTCTGAGTTCTGCTTCCAAGAAATACTTGCTTTGGGAGCCTGCAAAAGCTGTTTTGTAACAGCATTTTGAATTAAAGATGTCTGAGAGCTTAACCATAGGAGTGTGTCTGATCATACAAGCTGTAGGTGTTTAGAAAGCAACAGTGAAAATGCCCCAGTACAGCTCGTGAAAGGAAAGAGCATTGCTCCAGCCCTTTGATGTGACAGTCTGCTGTCACTTGCAGCTGTTTTAACCAGCGATATGTTGACTTTTTCATTCCTTAAAGCCTCCATGAAGTTCATCTACAGACTTTAACCGCACTGCAGGCAGGCCAAGAGTTCTAGAAAATACTTAGGGATTAGAATTTCCATCAGGTTGGGTGTTTGCTTCTGCGAGCAAAAGCTCGAGCCTGTTGCCCTTGAGAATGAGCATATCTTTAGGGAAGTGGGTTGCAGGACCAGGTAGACCTGCACCTCCCTGCTGTGGACACACAGGACCTGTTCTCCTATCTGTGAGGCAGTGCTGGTTGCCTTTCTGCTCTGCCCAAATAGCTCATCCTCCTTAGAAACATCGTGAGGGAACCAGGCAGTATCTCTGCCTGTCCTTTCGCTGCTCACACTATATCAACCTTAGCACAGACAGCATGTTTGGCATAGCTCAACGTCCCCTGCACAGTCAAGTGAGTGTTGCCCATTAAACAGACTCCAGATAATTCTTGGATTAAATTACATTTTTTTTAATATAAAAATAAATTGGCTCTTCTCATATTAACATCTTGTTTTAATAATTGCTGTTCCACATCCTTACATTCCAATTTTGAAATGCTTGAAAAGCATTTTGCTGCTTATAGATTTCTGATGAGGCAGATGGTTACATATGCTGATCACACCTACTGACACAGACAGACAGAACACCACAGCATAAGGAATCCCATTTAGAGGTTCCAAATAGCACAAAAACTTTTGTTTAGAAGTTGCAGCATGTTAGAGAAACAAAACCCCTCCAATCAACCTCTCAAATCAACGAGACCCAAACGTGACTGTCAGGCTTGCTCTCCTCCTTGAGTCCCCAATTACTGCCAGTTCCCTGGTGGCTTCTAGAGAAGGAGATAATTTCGTTTCTCTTGCAGTAAAGACTTTACACTGAACAGTTGTCCCCTTTTCTCTTCTCTTTGAAAG